TTCGTTCTGCTGTGCATGGGGTCGCTATGAGTCGGTTCCGACTTGATGGCACCTGACAACAACAACAACTAGTTAAGTTTAAACTCCTTTTTTCCCCACTCTCTCTCACCTCCAGTTGTTGTTTTGTTGTTAAGTGCTGTCGAGTTGGTTCTGACACATAGCAACCCTGTATAAGGTTTCTGAGGAGCAGCTGGTGAGCTTGAATCACTGACTTTGCGGTTTAAACCAACCTTGTAGTCCAGAGCATTTACCTGCAGTGCCACACCAGGACTCCTAGCTTAGAACTAGGCAGAGCCAAAGAGCAACTTCAAACAATTGATTTTTCTCTCCTGATGAGTTAAGCATAAAAGCATATACAGAACTTTACATTTAAGGTTTTGAAAAATGATGGACCATAAAAATAGACCATGGAAATAAAAAATTAAGTCTGTTTTTTGCTTTTTTTCTCCTTGATGCTTCCTGATAGACCTCATACACTGGGTTAAATGATTGTTGTTGTTGTTGTTATGTGCCGTGGAGTCCGTTCCAACTCATAGTGACTCTGTACAGGGTTTCCGAGGCTGTAAATCTTTATGGAAGCAGAAAGCCTCATCTTTTTCCCACGGAACAGTGGGTAGTTTCGAACTACTGCTGACTGTGCGGTTCGCAGCCCGATTCGTAGCCACTACACTACCTGAGGTCCTTGGGTTAAATGATTAAAAACATTAAAAAATTTTTTAAAGTTTACTGCTTGATTAATCTTACTCCTTGTGCTTGGAGATCAAGCCAAACATCAAGCATGTTGGAAGGGGCACAATTTAAAGTATCATTATTGTCCTGATGTGGCACTATAGGATAAAGCACTGGACCACAAGGCCAGTTTAAACTGCAAGGCTGGTGGTTCAAACTCAACAGCTGCTCCTTGGAAACTCTATAGAGGGTCACTATGAGTCAGAGCAGACTTGACGGCACTTAACAACAGTAATTGACTGTAAAAGGAACCCTGTTTACCTTGGTTTATTTTCTTCCTCCTTTCTCTGTATTTGATAGTTTATTTCTGGATTACATACTCTCCTCCACTAGACTGTCTTCTTCACTAATACCACATGGTTTTTAGTAGCATGTTGTTATAGTGTTGTAGTCTGCATATTCTTCTCTAAGACGAAAAACTGAGTCTTGAGAATTTGGATTTTTTTTTCATGTATTTTGAAAGCATGACTAATTTTCTAATATCTAAGATTAATATATGTGTATGTATAGAGGGAATGTTTATATTGTACAGAATATTTAAGTAAAATATTGCCTTATTTTTGTTGCCTTAGCCAAGAAAACTTTTCTTGGACAAAATAAATCCTTCTGGGGGCCTCTAGAACTGGTAGAAAAACTTGTTCCGGAAGCTGCAGAGATAACAGCAAGTGTTAAAGATCTTCCAGGACTGAAGTAAGTTTAAGATTTCTTGTGGGGAAAAGAAGAATGACTCTTTGAAGATTGAAACTGAAAATAACAATGAGTGAAATACATTATTGCATAATAATTCAAATAGTATAATGTTATTATTAGTAGGCACTGTTATGAGAGAACTGAGAATATAAATTCAGAAAAGTATGCTTTTGAGGTGTAATTAATTGTTCCTCTAAAAGAGATTGTCTTGATGAGATATCTTGCTAAACATTTATCTGTTTTTGTTTTAAAGGTACTGGTGAGCATTAGTGAATCTGAAGAAGTTAGATCTAGGGAGGTAGCATGCTGGACTTGATTCAGAAAAAGGGAAATGCCAGATGTGATTTGAAAGCCAGGCTAAAACTTGCTGAGTTAACATCAGGAATGAATACGTAGAACTTGCATTAGAGATTAAAAGTGGTGGTGATCACCTTCACAAATTAATTCGGTTTCATTTTAATCAGATAGAAACCTTAAAGGACTGTGTCCACTTCAATGAAACATTTTTATTTGGGCCTCCAAAAGATCTTGTTTTCAAATTATAGACTCAATCAATAATTAATTATTCACAAGAGCATTTGACCCAACACCCTCTGGACCTCACCAGGCCTCATGGAATTCCTCAGTAGAAGTGTGGTTGGAAAGGAATCCTCATTATGCATGTTGCACTGCTAGACCAATCTGCATTGCATTGTGGTCCCTGCCTCTGCTACTTGTATCTTTATTTGGTTGGTTTCTGTGATTTTATAGGACCCCAGTAGGCAGAGGAAGAGCCTGGCTTCGTTTGGCATTAATGCAAAAGAAACTCTCAGAGTATATGAAAGCTTTGATCAATAAAAAAGAACTTCTCAGGTAAGAATGCATCCTTGTTGAATTCTCTTCTTTTTTTTAGTATGCTGTTCATACGAAACCATATAAAATTGCCATTTTTATAGGTCAGAAACTGTTTAAAAGTGGAATATGAACAATTAGACATAACTTCAGTTTAATACCTTCTCCCATACATCCCACATTCATATTCCTGAATGATGATTTTATATTATTTGCATGTCATTTGTCACTGTGATCTATATATAGTCCTTTTTGTAGGCCAAACAGAAAGTTAACTTTGCAGGACAGAAAACAGCAAAGACTTTGGGTACCTTAGCATGTGCCCATTCTCAACAAGATATGACACTGTCATAGAACATTAAATTCAAATAGCATGCACAGTTGTGTATTTTTATGAATATGAATGTGGAAGGTAAAACAAACTTTTAGAGGAAAACATATTTATGACTTAAAATATGCTAAGATTTTTAAAGCAGGATACAAAAAACACTAAGAGAAACAATTGATAAGTTGATCCACATTAAAATTAATGTTTTAATCAATTAAAACTCTGTTAATCAAACCATTTTTAAGATTCAAAGTGAAAAAGTAACCCAGAGATAAATACGAAAAGAGACTCATGTTTAGGGTATATAAACATCTCCTGCCAACCAGTGAGAAAAAGGCAGACAAGCAAATATAAAAATGGTTAAAGATTTGGACAAGCATTTAAAAGATAAGGAAGCCAAATGGCCAGTGACTATCTAAAAAAACACCCAATTTCAGTATCCTACAGAAATGCAAATTAAAACAATGTGATAACTGCTATTGTTGTTGTTAAGATTCATCTTGCCGGTTCAGACTCATAACAAGCCTGTATAGGGTTTCCAAGAAGCAGTTAATAGGTTTATATAGTCAACCATTAGCAGTCCAATGCTTATCCTGCAGTGTCACACCAGGATTATACACCCACCAAAATGACTAAAATGAAAAAGGCAGATAATGTTAAATATTTATGAAGATGTAAAGTAACTTTAGTGCTCTATTAGCAGGAGCATTAAGTGGTATAGAAATCTAGTAAAACTGTTTGGCATCATCTATTAGAGCTCATCACATACGTATCTTCTTGTTGTTAAGTGCCATTGAGTCGCCCACAGCGACCCGGTGTAAGGTTTCTGAGGCTTTAAATCTTCATGGGAGCAGAAAATCTCATCTTTCTCCCATGGACTGACTGGTAGGCTCAAACCACCGACCTTGTGGTTTACAATTCAGTGCTTATCGTATAGAGCCACCACACTCCCCACAAATATACTTTATAACTTAGTCGTTTCACCTCTAATTGCTGTATTCAATAGAAATACATACTTAATGTTTATCAAAACAGATGAGTACAAATGTTCAGAATATTGTAATGTTTTAGTAGCCTCAGATAGCAACCCAAGTGTCTGTCCACAGTAGAATGGATAAATAACTTGTATATTTATATAGTGAAACACAATACAGCATTTACACATAACAGCATGAATTTAATCTTGAAAACATAATACAGGGCAAAAGAAATCACACCAAAAAAATACATAGTTTATTATTCCACTTATATAAAATTTAGAATCACACACAACTAACTTTGGATGTTGTTAAGTGTCACCAAGTCAGTTCTGAGTCATAGCAACCCTGTATAGGATTTCCAGGGAGTTGCTGATGAGTTTGAACTGCCAACATTGTGCTTCAGACTGACCTTGCTTTGACGCAGCACAGCAACAGAGTAAATGGCTTTGAGCTTGTGGATTAGGCTAATTAGTTCTTCATCTTCAGTTTCACTTGTAGGGATGTTTAATAGAAATGTGTATATATATATTTTCAGACTATAACACTGCACTGAATATTTACTGAACATATATGTATATGTATATTTACTGAACATATATGTATATATGTTCAGTAAATATTCAGTGCAGTGTTATAGTCTGAAAATACTGGAAACAACACCCCAGGTATCTATCAACAATAGAATGACTGGTTACATTGTGGTATATTCCTACCAGGAAGTACTCTTCATCAGTGAAAATGAGTGAACTATAACTATGTATGAGTCTCACAAATAAAAACTGTGCAAAGGAAACCAGACCCAAAAGTGCATGTACAATAGGATTCCATTTTTATAAAGTTTAGTTACAGTCAAAGTCAGTCTATGGCGATACGCAGTATTGGAAGAGGGCAAGAGTGAGTTCCAGGGTCCTAGTAATCTTTTCTTGCTTGAAAAAGGTACTGATTACACAGATAGATGTATATTCTTGTGAAATTCATGGAACTGTTCTTTTAGAATTTAAATATTTTTCTGTACTTATATTAACTAGCAAGATAAAAAAATAAAAATTAAGCTGTTTTTTCATAGTCTGACATTTTGTTATTGGCATGTATAAAAAGTTCAATATTGGAATGCAGTTTTGCTCATCTTCTAAGCAGACACCTAAACAATTTTTTAGATGAGGCTTTTAGAGAACCTTGTTCATTCTACTTCTACTGAGTTTCCTTCAGAGACTACCAAAGAACAAAACTATTCAGAGATGGAGTAAATCTGCAGATCTTTCATAGGCCACTGTTTTTGTTTCTTTCCATTTGTTATAATATCTTTTGTAGAGAATCAAAATATAAAGGGGAGAGAAACTAAAATCAGTGAATTTTGTGGATGTTTTTAGTGATTAAGGTTGACTTTGAACAATCCCAGATAACTTTGTGGGAAACATACAGATTGAGATGTGTCAATCTTAATACCAAATTGATTGAAAAGAAATAGTTAAGTCACTGGATTTTTTTTATTTATTTTTTTAATTTAAGGTTTTTATTGTGGATTGAGTGAAACTTTACAGGGCACATCATCAGTTTCACATTCAACAATTACATTGAATTATAATCCCCTCCATATACCATCAGTTAAAAGTATTTCTCTCTATCCACTTTAGCTTTTAAAAAAACCCACAAACAAAAAAAA